GAAGATTTGTCAAGAAATAGAGTATGCAATTGTGTTGCTCAATCCCCACGACGGTTTACGCGGGCGGCTGTTTACTGCCTGCTGTATAACGAGACATCGTTGCTCGCATTATCGTCAATTTTGTTTTGTCGCAACGGTCTATTGCATTTTTAGACCGCTGCAGACAAACTATCAGCTTTTAAATGATGTTCGGTTTCATATACGAGTCTTGAGTACTCTGCTCGAAAAAAATAGCCTCGTAGAAGTTCCGGAACGCCTCCATCTCCTCTACGCCTTGCGAATACTTGGCAGCGTAGCTATTGGGTCCGCCTGAAGGCAGCAAAAGCTTGTTCGTCTCTGCTTGCAGACACGGAATGAGCTTCGCAAGAGGCGGCGCCGGTTTCTTCTCAGGCAGCTCGGCAGCGTTATCCTCGACAACACGACATTCCTGTTTACTCGGTCCATAAACGACATCATCAAGGTCCTGGAAGGCATTGCCACACAAAAACCTCAAGCTATGCTGCAGTGCAGGCATAAAGAGATCACTTTCCAGTAGATCCCACAAGTCGTTGAGAAGACAAATCACATGTTCGTCCTGGTCCTTTTGCTTGTCTGGATAGATCAAAAATTCTCTCCACATGTTCAATTCTGTCGATTCTTCGTGCTTTTCCGCTGCTGCTACTGCAGTCAGTGACGGCATTACCGCCAAGAACAATGTCTGCAATAATTCATTGAGCTCATCAGCTCTCACCGTTGCTTTGCAACTGACTTGCCACGTCTGTAATTGCGTATTTTTGCTCACTACAGTCTCCACATGAGTCTTCAGTTTGCTCAACCCCTTGTCTAAAAAATACTCGAGTCCTGACGACAGGAACGTGTGGTGTGCTTGCTCCTCTGTCTCTTTTCTTGCTCACGATTTACTAGCCTCACTAGTCGCGTGTTCTTGTCAAAAACTCTCTTTCCAATGATAGAAACTTGGGCAAATACCAGTAAATGCCACAATCCAAACGCCACGAGCGTTGTGAAGTAACGCGTAAACGCCAGTAACTTGGCGTCTTCCCAGAGCGCATTCCGTTCATTCTTTTGTGTCTTGTCAAGCCTTTTAAGCTCTTGTACCACGTTCTCAAGATCCAAAAGATGATACAATTGCGTCTTAAGTCGCGGTAGAAAACGTCGTACAGTTGCGCGACTTTCGTCTGTTGTACTGCTGAGAGCCAATTGCAAACGCTGATGCTCGACCATTTGCTCCTGGATCTGCTTTGTTAATCGCTCAGCTTCATTCAGCATTCTTTTGTACGCATAATACGCACCTCCTGCACATGCTGCACTTACACCTGTTACGACTAGGAGCTTCTTATGACGGCGTGCGAATCCACATGCCGTCTCCTTGAACGCTGACCACATTTTATCTTGAACTGAGTATAGCACGTATCATTTTGGTTGCTCGATGAGTTCGATGATTTCATTGGTTATAAAGGTATCGACTACTTCAGAAAAGATACTTTTTCTTTTATCGGCTACTTTAGAAGAGATACTTTTTTTATTCGCATAATGGACGCCATGAGTGCTGCTCCTGGACGCTTTGATATGCTCTTGACGGAGCTAGCACAGCAACATGGTAGCGTTGAGTCCTTGATGGATTCATTTTTGACTTTCTATACCGCAAAACGGACTTTTACGTGGTCTCCAAGGACCCAGAGAGACACAAGATGGGATTTTTACCTGGTCAAGCACAGGAAAAAGTGCTGAAAGCCTTTCAGAAGTACCCAATGAAGATTCTGGATGGAAATGATAGTTACAACATGATTGCCAAGAAGAACACTGCGACAATTGACCAAGTTGTATCTGCTGCAAGTTCAATTAAAGCTTCTTGTGGTGCTAAAAATGAACCGAAGCTTACGGACGAGGGCAAACAATGTATGGCTAGTGCTACTTGCTTTTTATATTAAGAATGGAACGTGGGTTGTCTGATGTTATTATGCAGTTCCTGTGGGTAATGGAGGACGAGCAGGAACTTTACATGGACGCAGACTTTGGAGGAAGTTTCAGTAGGTCTTTTTAGCTGATTTAACAAGATGCTGATGGTGGGCTGATGGTATGGATATGTGTGATTGGTCTTGTAGATTCAGATGGAGTTAGTACAAGGCACTCAAGCAAAGGACTTGGACTGTCGGATTACATCTACGCACCTGTATGTGGCATTGAAAAGCAACACGATCAAGCCACTTCTGGAAGGAGAGTTTCCAGAACAAATCCGTGTGGACGAGAGCATTTGGTCGCTAGAGAGCAACCATACACTTCTCATCATTCTAGAGAAGACCAAACCGACGTGGTGGGCTAGTGCACTGAAAGGAGAACCAGAGATTGACACGAACCAAGTAGATTATCGAAGGAGTATTTACGAGTACGATGAAGTCACACAAGGTGCTATCAGAAAAGCTGTATACGACCAACGTCAATACCAGTCGAACGGTAGAGTGCCACTTACACCAGAGGAGCAAATGTTGGAGACAGCAAAGGACTTGCCTGGCTCTCCTTTTCTGTCGTCAACACAATAACATACACTACTGTAGCTGGTAACGTGCGCAAAGCATAGCACTAGTGTTTCATATTCAGCTTGCAAGCTCTGCCCATATTCAGCTCTGCATAGTTGTTCATAGCTATTAACTCAGTTGCTTAGTGTCTTTCATCTATCAGCATTCTCATCTTCCCGCTCGTATCGCCGGTCCAGATCACAGCAAAGGCTACAAGTCCAAAATAAAGTTACAGGATACCCCAGTGACGTTCAAAGCCGTTAAGAAGACGGCAGATAGCCTGGGCTCCGCTCATCGGGTACTCCGAGATCGAAATGGTCTCGTCCAGCTGCATACATCAACAGAAGCACAACAATTAGTATCACTTTTCTATACCTCCAATTCCAAGAAAGTCACGTACATAGTTGCAGTTTTCCTTCGAAACGTGGCCGTGTGCCATGGCACCAATAATAAACACTACCGGTTCATCCTTCGGCAGTGTCTCCACCCATTCCCACGGATTTACCAGTGTACCCGTACGCGACAGTGCGTATTTCGTGCAATTTGCTGGCAGGTACTTGGTCACGGGATTCTTGATTACTTTTAGCAACGTCTGATTGCCGTCTGATGACCGAATCTTTAGCGTGTGTAACAGTTGCACTGAGCCATCCAGTTACAGTGTTAGTCTATTTACATCTACAACAGCTATATATATATGTTATAGCATCAACTGACCCATAAGACCTGCGAATCGCTTGTACGTACGAGGCACGCGCATCTGTGAGCTCACCTCAACGAGCACGCCCTTAGTGCTCTGGGTGTACATCTATCGTAGCAACAATAGAGAAATTCATGACCGTTCAGCTATTTTCAATAGCATGAATACTACTAGAAAAAGAATACACGAACCTTGAGATATCCAGCCTTATTAAGCGGCGAGTCCAACAATGCCATAAGCTCTTGGTGGAGAATATCTGGACGGGATTGACTTGCTTCACGATTAAGTTTCTTGTGAATCCCTTTGTGATCATCACAGTTAAGCAATTGATAACCTTTCGAGGTCTTGACCGTCTCCAATGCCGCCTGTTCCAAGATTACAATCACTTGACGACGTTTTACGTCTTCTTTGCTTGCACTCATTGTTACGATTGTCACTGTCTCATCAAAGCATTGGTTCCTATGAATGTAGTGTGTACCACGTCGGACACGGCTTCATACTTGATCTTGAAACGACAAAACGTTTTGATGTATCTCACACAAAGGCAACAATGGTCGATGATGACGGACGTTGCATCTTCATATAGCAGACAGGGATGAGTTCTATTATCTTGCAGCTAAGTGTTAGTTGTATCCGGTTGCGACACGTTATTTTCTGGTAGTACTTGCAGGCTGATCTATGAAACCAGCATCTGAATAGGAATCTGCGATGACGACGTCTGCTGTCGCTGTTCATCCTCACCTTCTTGTTGGTCTTGTTGATCATTGACGAGAGGAGTAGGTACTGTGCTACTTGTAGCTGCAGAAGCGGATGTAGCAGAACCGATGGGATTCAATGCTTCAGCTACACGTAAATACTCGTCACGACGGCCTTGCGATTCATTTAAGAACGTAGCGAGTGCTTCTGGACGACCAGCATTTCCAGACTCTCCTGGCGTGTAGTTAGCTGGGAGAGGCTCGATACTAGGAAGTAATTCCTCCTCTTGCTTTACACGAGCCAAGACCAGTTTTTCAAAACAGTTCCCTGGTGGTGACAGGCTAAACTCGCGACGGTCTTCAGGCTCCACATAGCGCTCTGCGACATTTCCATGTTCTTCGAGTATAGCAGCGCAAATCGTCTCCACCTTACGCTCCAAGACTGAAAGAGACGGAAACTCGTTCAGGGTACGTAGAAACCAGTCATTCATCTCTGCAATCGTCTCGAAGTGATGACGGTACAGAGGATGGAAGGTAGTCGTACCCTCCAAAAACACAGTGCGAATGTGGTGCTCTCGTGCCTGACGGTGGAATGGCAGCTGACGATCCAGCATCATATGTTCCCAGCCGTAAATACCATAGCGAGCCATGCCGTAAAAGACACCCAAGTCGTGAATCCATGGACACCACCACACTGGCATATTCTCCACCAAACCGTGCTTTCCAGACCGAAGGAGAGTCTCCAGTGCGTCTCGTTTAGTGGATAAGATGTCTAGCACATCTTCAAGCAATTGAGTGCGCCGCATTGTTACCCAAGCAGTGTTGCGAGCCTTCAGCCCATGGGCCAATACACCCTCGAAAGCATCCACAAACTCGATACCAATAAGATCGCCCAACGCCACTGCACGCTGGTCTGAGCCCAGCGGATCTGCCCGCATACGTGCAACCTCACGACACTTGGGGGCAAACTTTGTCTCGTAAAAGGTTCGTGTGAGAGTGGCAGTCTTGTTCAAATTGCCCCACTCCACAATGTTGCGCCACGAAATGCTATCCGTCGCCCATGAAAATTCGCGCGCTTGCTCCGTCACGAAGGGAAACACCGACGGGGTTGGTCTACCATCCGGAGCAATTACGGCACGTTTTGCTAAGATTCGCGGCGCGCCATGGAGTGCCATCATGTACGCAAATGAGCGACGCTCCTCCTTGGTCCAATCTGTATTTTTCATGCGGTGCTGTGGAGTAGCGAACAATGTGGCATCCGGAAGTTGGCGAGCATTGTGCAGTACTGTCATGTGCCGGAGAATGTCTACCTGCGCAAGCTGCATGGCCTTTAGCTCCAGCCGACGCAAAGCTAAAGAACGCGCTCGCATTTCGTGGCCAACTTGTCGCCTTTGTTCAATAGCTGCGCGCTCCTTCTTGTATCGGTCCTTTTCGTGGCGCCGCTTAGTCTCCTCCGCAGACAGCAGCCAACTCAACAAGCGGTTCATATGCTGAACCTCAGGCTGCTTAAATGAATAAGCAGCTGCTAACACTTTACTTTCAGCTGCGCCAGCTTCGGTCTTCACTTGCGTAAACATATTACTACTGTCATCGATAACAGAGCCTGTCGCACTCTCCGAATCAACATCACTCATATCTGCGTCGTCACCTCCATCTGCAGCTGTGGCGCTTTCCATTCTAACCGGATCCACGGCCAGCCGAAATGCACTTGTCATACCGGATTGGCTCATGTTACTCACTTCAACTTGATCTTGAGCAGCTTTCTCTAAGCGTGCAAAATACAGCCGCGGGTCTGCCAGGATTTGGGCGCAACGGCCGTATCCATGAAGAAAAACACCCATCAGCAAGTTCCGGTCAGCATTTTCATTCCACCATGGCGTAATTTGTGTCCATGCTGGTCGCTCTCCTAAGTCAACTAACTCGATATGCGGTACTAGCTTATCCGCACCGTAGTATCTAGCACGGTCATCAATACTAGCAGTCGGTTTGGGTTTCGACTTTGAGCTATCATCAGTATCTCCATAAATCTTGTCACACATATCACAAGCAGTAGTAACCAGATGCTGAAGTCTTTGAAGCATATCCAGTCGAACCAGCACCCGTCGACCGCCACCTTGCTTTAATTTAAGCATAAAGTCCTCTTCCTTCAGAACTGTTGACAGTTCCTCTTCATCAACAAGATTTTCCGTTTGAGCGAACGTCGCTGCGTGAATTGACGCCTTCACAAACGTTGAATCATCTTTACGCTGATCACAAGACAGGCCCGAGACATAGATAAACCCGCGCGCAAAGCGTTCCACTTCCTTCACAGAACGACTACCGCCGCTCTGGCTTCGAATAACCTCCCAGCGACCAAAACCATAGTGCATTAGCGCACGCTGCAAGCGATCACGTCCATTTTGTGTCCACTCTCGGGGTGCACTTTTCTCCTCAAGCCGTTCGCGTTCTTCCTTTTCTCTCTCACGCTTTTCTTGCTCATATTCGTCATCGGATATACTGCCGTCAGAGAAATTGCCTCCGTCGCCGAAGCGCGCAACACGAGTTCGCTTGCGTTGATGCGGCAACAAGATTTCGGTTTCCACTGGGTCTGGCTCTGTAAGACCCACAGCTTTCTTCCAGAAATCAGGATCGTCGAGATCCACATCGTCCGAGGTAGTGGCTGATACAAAACTTGCTTTTGAAAAGCTTGACTGCGCCTGCTCAGTGTACTGTATAACCTGTGACGAGCGCTGTAAGATCTGGTCGATGTCTAATGCACAAAATTGTTCGCCAGCGGTATCATCGTCGCGGAACACATCGTACGCACCACGTTTCAGCAAATCATCGATCTCCTTAGATTCTTGTGCCCTGGCGCTCTTGTTTCGTTTTTTGCCGCCCTCTTCTTCGTTTTCACGACGCATGTGCGTAAGCACGGCTTTGTCTAATCCAAGTTTCAGGGAGGCTTTGTGAAACATATGCATCTCGTAGGTTTTACGAGTAATTAAACGATAAATCTTCACCGAATGTGTCTGGCCGATACGATGAGCACGAGCTTGTGCTTGCAGGTCATTCTGAGGATTCCAGTCGCTATCGAAAATAATGACCGTATCTGCAGCTGTTAAATTCAATCCTAAACCACCAGCCTTGGTCGACAACAGCATCACAAATCGCTTATACTCGGGTTTGACAAAGCGGTCAACCGCAGCTTGGCGGTCATTGCCACGAATGTTACCATCCAGCCTTTCGTACAGATGCCCACAGTAGCGTAGATAGTCTTCGATAATGTCCAACACACGGACCATTTGGCTAAAGATGAGCACTTTGTGTCCTCCGTCATTCAATCGCGGCAGCAACTTATCGATTAACACCATCTTGCCGCAACACTTTACCATCATCTCATGACGTTGTGCGTCCGTCGTCAATCCTTCGTTTAAAATGTCCTCCACCCCGTTATTCAAATATGGGTGGTTGCAACATTTGCGAAGCTCCATCATGACGTTCATCAGATTAGGAACATTGCGGGGATTTCCGCCGCGGTTCAAAAACGCCGTGTTTCTCTCGTAGATTGCACGATACCATTGTTTTTGAACCGGTGTAAGTTCCACTTCAACAATGGTCTCCTCCTTAGGGGGCAATGACTTTTCAACGTCTTCCTTTACTCGACGAAGTAGGTACGGCTTTAGCATCTTGTGCAAGTCTGCCACTTGCTGGGCCTCACGAAGGTCACCAAACTTAGCAAGGAAATCAGAAACAGTTGGAAATGATTTTCCATCCAAGAAGTTTAGCAGCGCCCATAACTCTTCTGTCTTGTTTTGTAAAGGAGTGCCCGTAAGAAGCACGCAGTGATCACGGCGCAGAGAACGCATTTGCTCGACAAGCCGCGAGGATTGGTTTTTTAGTCGGTGTGCTTCGTCAACTACAAGGCAGCGCCAGTGAATTTTCGAGAGGACAGCAATGTCCTTTATCGCCACTTCGTACGTTGTCACAACAATATTAAAGCGGTAGGGTTTCTTCTTGTCGGGACGCAGTTTATCATCCAAATAGTAAAACTCGTAATCGCGAATAATTTCTCGGGAGGCGGTGTTGCCGTGGTACACGACACAGTTCATCGTTGTCCACATTTCACACTCGTTTTGCCACTGCACAATCAGCGACAGTGGCGCCACGATCAAAAATGGCCCGCGAATTCGGATCTTAGGGTCATCGCGAAGATGGTTCAAGAAAGAGAGTGTCTGAATGGTCTTGCCCAATCCCATTTCGTCGGCCAAGATACTTGGCCGCTCGTTGTACCAATTCCAAAGCAACCAATTCAGACCTTCTAGCTGATACGCACGAAGTGATAGTGACTGGTCTTCCCCAAACAAGGGGGATGCCTCCAGTTTGCGATATTCACGAATGCTTGGTCGCGGTTTTGGCTTCCATACCTCCTCATCAGGAACAACAATGGTCGCCTTATATTTAAGAAGAGCAGCATCGTCCTTGATGTCACATGCACGTTCCCATGTCGCTTCCGTATACGACAAGACACGCCATTTAATGTAGTAACGCATACCATCATCAATCGGTGCATCGGGAAAGTTGGCATCAGCAAGCATCGGTGGATCTTGTCGATGAGCAACAATACGATGGATCTCCAAGTACTCGGGATTAAAGTACTCAAGTTCATCCACTGCCATCGAGTCCCCATTCAAGTTTCCAGCTTGTCGATGTGGTTGATGTAGTCGAAGTTGTTCCTTCTCATGGAACCTCTTGATCTTTTGCTTGTTCGTCAATGGATCCATCTCCAGCAGCACTTGTTCTGTCTCCCACGTTGCATGCATGTATGCAAATCCTTTCCATTTGATTAGATACTCGACAATTGTCGTCTTTGTCGGACGATTCGTAAACAAATTCGAACTCATCAAGTCGGTAGCTACAGCTACAGGACGTGCTTTTGATTCGACGTCTTCTCGTTGATTTCTCATCCCCATAATCTTGTCAATAATCATCGTCGGTGTGGCCATCGCTGATGTCTGTGCTTGGCTAGTTTCCATCTTGAATTGATGTGGTAGTTTATCGACTTGATATTCCGCCTCATCCGACTCACTTTCATCATCTCGTTTCGTGTATTTCTTGTATTTCTTCGTCTTCTTCTTCTTGTACTCGTCATCATCTGATGTACCAAGATCTTCATCCGAGTTGGGAACATGATATGATTTCCGCTTTTTATTAGCAGCTCGTTTACTATGACGTCGTTCATCTTGTGCCAAGACTCGCGCCGTCTCTTCATCATCTTCGGGAGGTTTTTTCTGTTTATAATGTGGTACGATACGTTTCGTGTGGCACACTTCACATTCCCGCGTCCGCCGGTCACGATTTGGATGTTGACAGGTCAGACAAACCCATGGGTTCTTCACGGGTTTGACGCGCTGCTGATGACGCTGACGCTTGGCCTGGCGGTTCGCGAGGCTCGTATTGAAGGCTCTTAAGGCTGTAAAGTCATCGTCGGGCTTCTCACAGAGAGGACAGACATAGGCATCCAATGCCTCGAGTTCTTTTTGAGTCAAAATGAGTCCACAACAGCTTGGATGCACCCATCCATGACAGCCACCAGACCCACGGATGCATTCAATCATAATCCCAGCGCCATCTACTTGCTGACACAAGCAGTAGCGTGTGGGATCAGGGGTTGACATAGTACGAGGGGAGAGGGAGGAAGGAAGGGGGAGGGAGGGAGGAAAGAGGAAAGAGGTGTTGGATGTAGAAAAAGGGGGGAAGAATACCCTTTGATCAAAGCCAAGGGCGCCCGTCCTTGTCGTATTCTCTGCTCCCTAAACTGCCGGGTCTCCTGGAACCACCCGCATTCTGCATTCACTATACTTCCATCCAGTAAAGAAAATATTTTCCATCAAGGGGTATGAAATCTATTTCGAGAGGGTAACCTTTGTAACCTTTTATATACAAAAAGAGAGGATCCGGATACGAGAGAAAATGTATACAGACTAAAACTCATACGTAAACGACTTCTTGGCAATTAGCTCGGCAAGCTCCTTGTCGGTCGTAGGCTCCAGAACGGCAACATACTCGCTATTACTGACCGTTGGAGATTTGTCTAGACTCAAGTCTTGACCACGATTACCATTGTGTGGTTGTTTTAATAGACTTTGGTTGCCATGCTTATGAGAAGCATCAAATGACGATCCCTGCTGATGACTTGCACGCTGTGCTTGTCCTTGTTGAAGCTGTTGCTGACTTGCGTCTAACTGTTGAAAGCCCTGTTGTCGATTCAAGCCCGTTCTCTTTGGTGGCACTCGAATATCACCACCAATCATGTGGACCGTGTAGCTCTGTTGCTGTGGTTGCTGCAGAGATTGTCGGTCTTCCTGTTCTTGCTTTTGCTCTTGTTCGGTCTGACGTGGAGTCGTATTGTGGATGATGAACGAGTTGCCATTCTCATCATACTCCACATCCGTCAAGTGCTTCATGTCCATGATAAAGCGCCCGATATCAGTGATACAAAAGAGAATGGATACACCCAATGACGGGCCCGTCTTGATGACCATATCGGGGTCCCAAATGAGAAAAGCAAAGGCGTAAAACCACGTGAATATCTTGCACCGCAGCATATTGCGTTCAAAATTTTCAGGTGATGGGAACATTGAGCTGGAGATTTTAGGTCCATAGACGAGGATAATTGCAAAGAAAACGGGTACCCATGCCAGTGTATACAGCGTTTGCAATTCCTGCTCGGCTTGAACCATCTCATCCGGACACTGAAAGAAGGACGCCACGAGTGATGCAGAGAGATAAAACTCCAGTCCACATACTAGCATCGCCTTGAGTGAATTCTCATACAATTCGCCTAATTCTTTGAGCGGCTGATCCACCAAAAGCTCACGCACAAATTCTGGTGCTCTTGTCACCATCGTCGTTATTTGCTGAAGTTTTTTACAGCGCCTTTTCGTGCTGTTGTGTACACAATTTGTACATCACTTTTCCCTTTTCTGGTATCAGTTGTGAGGGAAGAAGTTCGGAACAAAAAAATAGCAAAAAAATAAGGGATAAGTACGGTATTCTTCGGTTATGTACGAATAGGGCCATTTGGAAGATTTTTTTTTCTTCAATAAAGCAGAACTTGGGGCTGTGTGTACCTTGTTGTGTATTGATTAATCCAGCCACGAACTCCGAGTCAAGATGAATGCATCTGATGCCGACCGTCAGATTAAACAGATGGTGAATTTTATTCTCCAGGAAGCGCAAGAGAAAGCCAACGAGATTCGCATCAAGGTAAAAAGTCGTCGATTATTTGTTTCTATCGTTTTGTGCACTGGAAATGTAGAAGAGAAGCAAAAAACAGTGTTTATTAGTAAGGATTCATGGACATTTTCGGCTTGTTTTTTTACTAGACGGAGCATGATTTTAATCTGGAAAAACAAATGTTAGTGCATAACGCTAAACTCAAGATTCAGGAAGAGTACAAGCGCAAAGAGAAGGAGCGGGAAGTAAACAAGCGCATGTGTGTGAGCTGATCCTTTGTGTTTTAATTTCTAAAAACCAAGTTTTGACGCTTTTATTGATGTTTTTCCAGTGCTCGGTCGGCTGAAATTGGTGCTTCACGTCGACAGAAAATGATCGCTCGGGACGAGTTATTGAAGACGCTTATTGTAGAGGGACAAAGTCAGCTGAAGAACTACACGACTTCGGACGACAAAAATAAGGTTCTTCTACGTGACCTCATCGTCCAAGGTCTGATCAAGCTATTCGAGACAGATGTAGTGGTCGCAGTACGTGCCAAGGACGTGCAACTTGCTGAGATGGTGGTCACGGAAGTCATGGACAAGTACATTGCTACGATGAAGAAGGAGGCTAATTTGGACGTGAGCGAGGTCAAGTTGAAGATTAACAAGATTGCGGAGGGCATGTTGCCGGACGCCAAGGCTGGTGGTGTTGTGCTGTACGCCAAGCAGGGCAAGATCGTGTGTGACAACACGCTGGACACGCGCCTGGACCAGATCTATTACGATCTGAAGCCAACGGTGCGCAAGATGCTGTTCCCAACTCCGTAAAAGGGACGGGGTGTCATATCCAAACCATTGATACTGTCTCCTATCACTACACAATACGGTAATCTAGTCGATTTGGAACGAACACTAAGATCTAGCAAGGTTCTTGCCTTTCTTCTTGACTGTCTCTATAGGCACGCTTGCAATTACGTTATTATGATCGAAGCAGATCTTGCAGTCTCCATTGTTGCCATGCTGCGCATTATCAAAACCAGTAATTAGCAAAACAGAGTACGAGTCAACGTCCAAGAACAAGGAGCTAATCTCAGGCATCCACATCGCCGAATAGGGCCCGTATGCAACACTCACGAGATGCATCGATTCAAGCTGTGTAGACTTGAAATGCCCATCAATAGCACGCTAGCCACTCAAAATAAGCTTCCATCGGGCCGAATCCCCTCGGACAAACTCGGCTCGTAGCATATAGAAGCCGAGCCCAATGCCCACCGCCTTACTGTATGCCTCCTTGAGCGACCATCGTCGGTAGAATCGGGTATATTGACTATCTTCATCCTTCACTTCGCATATGTAAACCCGCTTCTTCGGATTGATGTGATCAGCAAAAGCTCAAAAAATCTCCTCGGCTGACTTCTTTTAAAGAGGTCCATCTCTTAGTCGAACAATATCTACGCTAAGTAAAGTCGAGGGAATCACTGACAATTGCCACGATGGTCCCATGATGGAAGACGTTGTAACTCAACAACAAAGGAGTAGGACTTTGGGTATGTCCCTTCCAGTATGACTTATTCTGTAACCATTTGCCGAGAGCTGTAGCAGAAGACGTTGCCAATCTGGAGATGTCAATTGCCTACCTGACAACAATTAAACCAAGAAACATTGTAACAACACGTTATAGCAAAAAATGTCGTAGCTACCTTGTTTTGATAGCGAAAAACATTGACAATGTCTCCATTTTCCTCTTCTTTTAGTTGCTCATATACTTTTTGTTCTGCTCAAATCCTTCAATGGACGCCTTCCCTAACGGAGACGAGAGACAATACGCCTGAAGCCGTTTCATCATCGGTGTATTTAGTCGCTCAGGGACGTCATTTTTGCCAGAAATGTAATTAAAAATGTCAATCGTCTCCTCATTCAAAATGTCTTCGTACTGTTGCAACTCGTCACTTGAGAGCTGCATGACGTTTTGACTGGCCCAGCGACCAAGCAGAAGATCCACCTCCAGCCAGCCACGTTGTTTACTGCGGTAGATAATGCGTTTGCGATTCGCCTCGTCCACGTCGACCTGATGCTCACCCTGACTCGAGACGGGAAAGTCGCTCTTGACGGCAAAGTGGTCCGCGCGGATAGCAGCGCTACGTTCTAACGCCTTCTTTGCCTGCTCCTTGGACATACTATGCACAAATGCATTGTTATCGACGTCCGTATTGGTCGACAGCGAGCGTTGGAACGTCGGAAGATGAAAGCAACCACGTGTGGCCGCAACGATCCGAGTTCGTGCGAAGTTCATTTCGGTTTTTACAATAGCGTTTGATTGGGGAGGGAAGAAATTCGAATCTAACGTTAGAAACGTACGTTTTGACACCAATTCAATCGTCTTACACCAATTGAATCGTCTTACACCAATTCAATCGTCTTACATACATTCTTCGTTTCTACACTATTTCTAACATAAACTAAATCAATCCAAAAAAGATTGAATCATGGAGTGGGGTCCATTGGAGCCGATTTTATCGCTATTACTACCTGAAGAAGGCGTAAACGACGGCATTGTGGATCGTAAACAGACGGATACTACACTAGCGCATGCTCTGAGTGGAGAAGAGCTCACAGCAGCGGTGCGTTTGGCTTCAATCGATCAATTAGACACGGCGCTCAGTCACGAGGTATTAAATGTCGAACGACTGCCTCTGAGTGTTTTATTACTATTGTGAGTATATAACAATGAAGAGGTAATGAAAAAAAATATTCGAGATAAGAATAACATTTTGTTGTCATTATTCCTATTCACAGGTCAGCTAAAGCCACCAAATGGGAGCATACAAACCACCAAGAAGAGTCGATACATGACCAAATGAAGTTTTTACTACAACTTTCACAACTTTTATACCAAATTCCAGTGGCTTTAGCTGCGAAGGAAATCAAGAGAGTCAGTGTTTTGGCCAATCAGTACACGAAACTGGCTATTGATACGCAACAGAGTATCAAGACCATTTTTCCACTCCAGAGCTTCCTACGTCGTTTCCATCAGCAAGGCCATGCAATTCTTACGCCATTACATGCTCACTTTTTTTATTTATGTCTTCATGCTAAATGTTACTCTGCAGCTATGGAAATTCTGGACGAGTAAGCAGTTGTTTCTCTTTTATTCCGGATGGGGGAAGTATAACAGAACAGAGTATTTTGGATATTAATTCTTGTATATGTCTTTCTCTTTTGATAATAATAATTTTGATAGAGCGTTGGTGGAAATTCAAGCCCAGTCACATGTGGTAACTTCGGTGGACTTTTTAGGCTATGCGTACTATGGAGGACTGCTCTATCTAGGAGAAAAACGATATCAGGACGCACTTGATTTCTTCCAACTTGCCATTACAGCTCCTGCTGTGTCACTTAGTGCCTTTGTAATTGAAGCATACAAGAAACTATTGCTCGTGACACTCATTCTACATGGTGAAGCAGTAGTGATGCCCAAGTACACGCCATTTGTAGTCACGAGAAACATTGAAAACCACTGCACGGCGTATGCTACTCTAGCCAACGCTTTTGTCGTTGAAAAGGACTTTGCGGCGGTACAAGCAGTCGTTACAAAGAACGAAGAGCTATTTATTCAGGACGGCAACTGGGGGCTTGTGAAGCAGGTCGTACAGGCATTCAAACAGCGGAAGCTTCTTCAACTTACTCGCACATACGCGACTATTGAGCTTACGAAAATTGCGACAGCTGCCGGAATGTCCAACAGCGATGCGGTGGCCGCTGAAAAGATGCTGTTAACTCTTATATCCAATGGTCAGATGGATGCTGTGATTGATAAGCAGAAAGCCATGGTGCGTTTTGTGCACGAGAATGAAGATGGCGGCGCTTACCAAGACGAAGTGCAAAGTGAAGCTTCAAAAAGGCTGCAAGACGAGATGAAGAAACTCGTAGTAGTTGCATCGCAGCTACGCGTCATGGATACGGAACTCGTCACGAGCGCCAAGTTCCAATCTCGCTTACAGAAAGACAAGGATCGGCGCTCGAGGATTCACATGCACAATCAGCAAAGTGATGAGCGACTGACCGTTGATGCTGCTAGCGGCATGGATACGCTGGAATAAGCAGCAGTGCACAGGGTGATGTTATACAGCTCATTTACAATTTGCGGTAATGGTTTTACGGACACGAGATAAACGGTTGAAACAATTTAGTTTCTAAGATATAAACTCTACTACTGCTCACAACTATTTTCAAGGATCTCACTGCATGACAAGAGCCAGCTGAATCTTGCGTTGGCGCACCAGCGATACCGGGTTCTTCATGCGAATTACTCGGCACAATGCAGAGTTACCGGCGTTAAACACGCGATAAATGCAGTATGTCGAACCATGGATTGCTGCTTGATCCAGCTCATTCATACTAATCTCGAACACACCCTTCTCCGTCGTGCGCGTGGACTTGACCTCAATATACTCCACTACTTTATTTCCTGATGACAGCGTGAGGTCGTACGGGAGACCGGATTCCTCCTTTTCGTTCACCCACTCGACAATCAGGTTTGACGCACTGTCAGCATGCTGCTGCTTCAGTTGGTTATACACATACTCCTCACCCCAGCGACCGATAGCCTCTCGTTCCTCCTTCGACATCGTGTTCGACAACGACAGAGATTGCATCCCTGTACCAAAGGATGATGAAGGGGGTAGCGGTGGATAATGCGGAGCTCTGTCAGCACTTCCGTTTGCTGGTGGAAGGGGCAGGTACGAAGGTCTTTGCATCTGCATGTCATAGCTTTCCCCATTTCCAGCCGTGCCGTAGTTTGTTGGTGCGAACGGAGGCAACGAAGTATTGTACGTTTTGTCATTTTGCAGTGGAGCATAGTGTTTCTTCGTCGGACCATCTTCTGCAGCAACCTCGCCATCTTCAAAGTCTTTCGACGTTCGCTTTCGATTAACATTGTTAGCAGTGGAAGATGTGGTAAATTGCTCTACCCACAAACTTCCAGCTTCACTGGCAGGAAATGGAGGCAAAAGCTGGGTCTGCACTAGCCACTGGTCTCTCAATAGAGAATTAGGCTGCAACAAACTCAGATACAGCAAGTTCGCAACGCTAGAAGCCACTTGAGTACCAAAAAGTTTACGACAGAGCTCCATTAAGACCACAGAGAGCGCACTTACTTCTTCGTCTCCTGTCACAGATTGCATATACAGGGTATTTTTCGAGACATCGAGGAAGCATTGTGACAATGCATCAGCTCCACGGCGAAGACTGAACGAATTTCCAACTCGATACACCACTTGAAACCCATCGTGACCATCAACCAAAACACACTGAAGCTCGGACGCAAGCTTTGCTATCGATTCATGATGGAACTGATCATACAGATGCCGGTGGGTGTGGAATAGGAATCGCTGGGCCAGAACAAATGCAGTGCGAATCTTTTCATGAAAAGCCTCACTTGCAAGATGCTGCGTACTAAGGACACTGACTTCGTATTGCAAGTGCTCCTTAAGCGACTTCATACCACAATACTCGGTGAGAAACTTGCGAACCCGAGTCGCCTCGCTACCTCTGTCTTCACTTGCTGGATTGTCCACGAAATAGTTCCACGAAAACAATCCAAGTACTTTCAACTGTCCAGCTAGTCCTGGTTGTTGTAGATCTTGCTTGGACAGCTCGGTTTGGTCATTGATATAGAAATTGGTAGCGGATACCCATTGCTGGTTGTCATCAACCGTTGGAAAAAAGATGAAATGTTGCACATTCCGCTGGATCTCCTGTTCGCCAACAACCGAAGATGAAGACGAGCAAAATACATTTGCCCAGGCTTTTACCAAAAGCTGTTCAAGCTTCAGTAATTTCTTCCTACCTTTTTTGCGATCGAGCTGAGTAGATTTTGTAAAGCGAGCAAATATCTTACACCAGGAGCTTGCATGGGCCCCGAGGTGGGCAGATACTGTCGATATTTTTGCAAAACCGAGCAGTGCGTCCAGAACGCCGTTGTCCGTGAAGGCATCAAGCTGAACCATTTTGACATCCTCTCCGTCCTTGTTCTTTTCGTCTTCGTATAGGCTGACATCATGGTCTGCGGAAATCTCCGTAGTGAGAGACAACATCAACTTCTGCAGCTTCTTTTCGTTCTCCGTCGTCGCTAATACAGGCTGGTCTTTTAATCTACAAAACACTAGACCATTTTGAAATCCATTCATGCATCGTGCTGGCAGCCAAGGAGCTGACTTTATAGTCTTCCTGATCGTCTTAGTCTCTTTCTTCGACAGCGAGCGCTTTTTCACTTTCTTGGCTAGTGCGCACAGAAGTGGTAACAGCTTTTTTTCCACAACTTGGTTTTCTCGGACGCGCTCCGTTTGTTGCTACCATGAGTGCTCAAGAAGGATGCTTGTCTAGTGATCATTTCACACAAGAATGAGATCGATGGTTTTCGTTGTACACCGCATACCTCAGTGAAGAAGGCGGATAATGTCTTCGGATACTGGGTCTCTAGCGAAAACAGCTCTCCGTTGTGCGCTGTCGATGACCATACCGCATTCTTTATACCAGCGAAGTGGTTTCGAGTTTCCTTTCCTGATGTATGTGCCTCAGCTGGAACAAACAGCATCATTTTGCACGAGAACGCTTTCATGATTTCGTCACGATAAGCATCAGACTGCTGACTTTGTTCCCACAAGAACGTGTACATTCGGATCATTTGGTCAATTTCTAGTGCATACACCAACGTTGAGTCAACAGAGAGACTCGAGATAGTTGAAAGCACATCAAACACAGTTGCGTCCGCTTTCATACCAAGGACCCGTTCGGAGAAATCTTTGTTCTTCCACGTCATTGTGGCGAACGTAACCATGGCCGGTGTGAACAAACGAGTGATCGTCTCGGTCGACAAATATAGATCAATCGAGCGGTGAAAGTTCCCATCGGATCCTTCCAGCCAGTTGTTTTGACGCCACCAGTCAAAAGTATCCGCCTGATTGCTAGTGGTAAAAGCAGAATCAAAGCTTTCGGAGTTGAGTTTACTCTCGTTTGCTCTCCAGTGTTTGTCCAAGTGCTCTGCCAAATGCTTGGAAATATTGCGTTTCACGGCAATATCATCCTCACCTTCGATCCACTCGAGAACCTGCTTCATTCCTGCCTGTGAACATGGGTCTAAGATGAGACTTGCAGTGTCAAACAGTAGAGGCAACTCACAAACATCCACCAGCAACTCCTGCCATTTTTTATCCACCGAGTTCTTCAACACCATTTCAGTCTTGCTATCGTTGTCGGAAAAATATTCGCCTGACACAATACCAAAAGCGCTTTCATCTAGCTTGGAAGTCTTCGTCTTCGTTGTGATCCACGAAACTAGCTGGGACATATCCTTGAACGTGGATGGCAGGACTACGAACACGTTAGACACGCCAACGGTGAGAACGCGACCGTCGGTCGCTGCAACAACCATGTTGGCTTTCACATCTGCGTGCATCGGACAATTTGAGCAAGAGACCAGATGCGACGATAGAAACTGCCCGTACTCAATCACCACCCTGACGTCCAGCTCTGCAGTATTACAATCGCTCAAATCGTCAGTAGGTGAACGCAACATCGTCATCTTCGGAAAGATATGGTGCCGAATCAATTCGTGGTCTTCCATCACGTGGATGCCCACATCATTTGTCAGGAATGTCCGTAGCTTCGGGCTCTTGGAAACAGCCTGCGTGAATCTGTCATCCAGAATGCGAAGGTCTCCGTAAAATTCGTACGATTCTCCACGACTGGAATTAGTGTCGCCCGCTTGGACACCAGATACAAAAAGTGTGTCGTGGCCTTCAGCTAGCGATATCCACCTAATATTACCGTCCATGCTGCGCCTTTGTTGAAGCGGGAAGCACTTAATTAACCGAAGTTCCTGCCAAAGTAATTTAGAATGGCAGTCCTTTCGCCAAAGCTTTGTGAGAAGTGCAAGAATCTTCACCGTCCAGTGGATGTCATTCATTTTCGCCGATAGCGATAAAACCCGCATCAAATGAGATGAATGAAGCTGCTCAATCCGTAGCTGCTTTTTCATCGATATCGGCATGTCTCGAGAAAGGGCAGGATGTAGGAAGCGCTTGTTAAACGTCGACGTTATGACGTCTTCGCTGAGAGCTCCCAACAATGCTGTCATGTTTCCACTGACTTCGTTCCCCGTCAACTCCACACAATCAATCAAGTCTGATGGCATAAGCAGTTTTTCCACGGATGAAGATGGCGTAAAGAAAGCACCGGCTAGCCACTTTACTTGGCGTAGCTCACGCATAATCTCCGGAATTATGCTCCGGAAAGGAGCTTGCACCTCGTTTTCGAGAGGCAGTAGCGAAATTAAGTGTGAGATTGCAGCAATTACGTTTTCGCCGCTCATTTGACCGTCGCTCGTTTCGTCTTTTTCAACCGTGAAGATGTAGTTGCTCACGGCTGCGCGTACAAGCGGTGGGAATTTGGATACAAGCCACTCATTCCACTCACTTCCGTTTGTAATAGCTTCTCTTGAGCTCGGAATTTCAAAGTCTCCCTGTAGAATAAATCGGAACCCATAAGACCGCAGTGGCAAGTACGCAAAAACTTGTTGAAGTGGTGGTCGGTCGCTTCGCTCGCTGGAATCCTTTTGATGCCCTGCAACAGGAAGCGCAAGCGCTATCTCGGTCGGACGGCCATGAGTGAATAACGGCGGCGATTCCAGTTTCGCCTTCACAACCAGCCAGTTTTGCTTCACCACATCCACGCTATTCTCGCTTTTCTTTACTCGTGAAAGCAGCTGAACAATAAGCGTGTTTGGTTGCAACTTCTTCTCTCTCTTAAGAAAGTGAAGCGTGTGCTGCCGAGCCAAATCGCGAAGGCGAAGCTCGCGAATACGTCGAAGAAAGAGCAATACAGACGGCTCGAATGCCAGGAGTGACTGCGAAATTTCATCCACCCTATGCATTGATGTTTCGTTCAACGGTAACACAAATGTCGTACCACGACGCTGTTTCCACTGAGTGGTGTCGTTTAGCCAGTACGGCAAGATATACCCCATACCATTGCCGTGCTGCGAAGTCTTCGCGTGAAAACAAATGTGAAAACCGTTCGAATGTACCTGCGGGTTGTCGGATACCTTGAATACGCTCTTAAAGCCAATACCTTTTTTGCCTATACTTGCCTCCGAGCTTATTGCCGCCTTCGTAGATGCACCCACATCACATATCGCTTGAATATTTTCTGGTGAGAATCCCCGTTCATTGTTGTAAAAGACAATTTCCTTGTCGGCTGTCAACGAAAAATCACCAAGTGGAATCACAGCATCGTCATAAGCGTTATCATCTGCGTTCTGCAACAGCTCGAGAACGAAGTGTGTGCTCTCGCTGTAGAGCTCATCGCTAAGCCGCTTGAGTGCACGCTCCAGCCGTTGCTGCTGAATTAGCAGCACTGATGTCGTTGCCTCGTCATGAATTTGAAGTCCAACGCCAAACTGCTTCTTACGCAAGTCTTCAATAAACAAATGACGCGAATTAGCGCTAGTCAAGCTCTCAGTAGAGGGCCCATCTTCAATATCTTGGTCAAGTAGCTCGTTTGAGAAGCTGGCCAACGCCACTTCAGAATCAGAAGTGTCCAGGAAGTTAGATGTCATGCTGTCATCTTTGTCATTGCTATTGCTTGCATCAGTCGGAGATGCAGACTTGGTCTCAGTCACATCTCTACCGGTACCAGTAGAACCACCAGCATCATCCTCCACGACCGCAACCGTCAGGTTCTCACGCATAGTGCGCCACTGCTCCGTTTGGTTCGCCCACAGCGGCGACGAGCTTCGGTTAGATATGAACACAAGGGCTTTTCTTTCAGCATCGCTGTGGCAAGCCTTCCAGATCTTATCTGCAGTGCCCCAATCGTTCGAGAACCCCGGCCCATCCTGTCCGACTATACCTAATAGTAACGACATGATGCATTCTGCAAACTCGACCGGCGTTTCCATAAGCACCTCCAAAACAAAGCGAGGTCGCCAGCTGTCAGCCATCCAGTCCTTGGCGAAGCTCAACAAGTGAGCACGTAGATGAGCTTGAACAAGTTGCTTCGGGAAATTTGCTTGACTCTTGCACGTCACCATCATCGACACTAAGTGAACTGCCACTTGGCTGGCGGCAACAAGGGTTTGCTCTTGTTGAGCTCGTGCAAGCAACAATTCGAGATCAGACGGTGTCGATTTCTCATTAACACGCAAAATCGTTCCGTCTAAACAGCACACAAACATACAGTTGTTTGACGGTGCATGATCAAGTAAAATCATTTCATGCACACGAATAAACGAGAGCAATGACCCACACATAGGAGCATACCGCTCGTGCCAATCCATATAAAGCGATACATCAATCAAGTACGGACATTTGCACAATTTTTCAAGAGCTTGCTCCGTCAAGAACTGCATGGACTCACCTGTTGCACCTTCCCGCGTGACTGCGACGTCAAAGCTGCCGCTGCCATGGTTAAGGTCCAAACTGCCGATGTACTTGATTATCGAAGTCGCTTCTTCGTGAGGTTGCTGATCCACGAGTCGAACCAGTTCTTCAGCACTCGGAAGTTCACGCTCTTCCGTGCGACTGCATCCAAGCTGCACGGAAACTCGGTGTGTTATCCATTGGTGTTGCTTTTCACTGGAAAGTGAAGACAACGAAGAAGATGAAGAGATGACAGCGCGGCATTCTCGAACAAATGGCATCACTTCTTCTAGTAGGCGCTTTTCGCTGATAACTTTCAGTGAGATCGCGTCGTTATCACTCCTTTCTGAAGAACGCATAAGGCTACGCAGCCACGTGCTTGCACTGGTTTCGTCTTTGCTATGTGCGTCCTCCGTGTCGCTTAGGATATGAGACAATAGTTCTAGTACGGATCGTCGTCCCGCCCAAGAAACACTGCTGCACGTGACCGAGAACTTGCTAATCAAGTGGTTTTCGAGGGACGACAACACCAAAAGCACGTCTTTCGCTGTATGCGGCTGATTGTCACGTGATTGTTGAGAGCTCAAAAATCTCTCCACCTCGGTTGTCACTTCTTCAAGCGTCACAGTCACTTCTGGGATGATTTTTCCTAGCCTGCTGGCAAACGGGTCTGTCGGCATAACAGGAAAACTGCCAACGTTGCCAGAGGTTTCCGGTTCCACATCTACCTTTGCTGCCTTGTCTTGACAATCGCTATCCTCGTCTTCTTCATCACTCGACTCCACATGGCATTTGCAAGTACAAGGACAGGTGCAAGAGTCCTTACCCACACAGCAACAATCACACTCTTCCTTGTCACTTTCAGCTAGTTTATTGGCAGCCTTCGGCTTGTCCTCTTCTATGCCGTCGTCATCAGGGAGTTTGTCATCGCTTAGTAGCAAGGCATACGTCTTCGCCATGATACTACAGATGACCCAAGTTATCACCTTGAGCCTCGAGTGATGCCTGCTTTTTTGTGATGACACTAGAAATCGTGTCAACTGATTGCGAAGTTTCGAATCGGTCTCTGCAATCTCCTGCGATGAAATGGGTTTGACAAACTTCTGTTGGCTAGTTGCATCCGCAGCAGCTTTACGACGCAACATATTGTCTAGATACACGTCAACATCAGTGACACGCTTGAGCATGTCTAACGAGAGTGATTGCATGCTGCTTTTCTTGCCTCTACGTCTTTTATGCGACTCTTCATCATTCTCCTGTTGACATAAGCGTACATTGGTTTGCTGCAGCAGGTCGTCCAATGCTTGTTTTCGATTATCATCACTGAATTTCTCCTTGGTGAGTCGAAACATTTTTTCAGCCACTTCAGATTGAAATTGTTTCTCCAATGTCTTGATCTCTTTCATTTCATGATTCCCAATGCGACGCAGCATACCGACATAAACTCCAAATCCAGATGGATCAATGATGACACCCATTGTTTGTAAACTTGGTTGTCTATACTGTTGAGCTAAAAAGTGAGCAAACTCATGCAAATCAATATGTGAAGACGCTCGAAATGCATCATGAACCACCATGTCTTCAAATTGACGTAAACAATTCAATACGTCTTTGGTTGTAATGTTCATTACAGCAACAGGTGAATGATAAAAATGTTGGACTGCTTCAGTATGTAAAAAGGAATTTCCAAGCTTCAGTTCGTGAAACGATTGAAGTCCTTCTTGTTGTAAAAAAATTCTTGACATTCCAAGAGCGTATGAATCCGACGACTTTGGATGAAACAAGTAACAAATGTCCACACCCGTTGATTTACAGTATGTAACTGTTTTAGTATGGGTAATTGTAATGGACTGATGCCCATCAAGTCTTCAAATGTATTGACATCTAGAGTATTATACATGGAGCAATCATTAGCATACAATCTAAAATGTACCGTAACATATATTTGTATATTCAACGTACGGAAATGATTGCAAATAGCTTGGACCACGACGTTTATTGTCAGTGCATTCGGTGGTGCTGCAAGACTCGACTGATTTGCTCGTAACTTTTCAATAAAAGCTACAACATCTTTTTGTCTAGGTGGTGCATTAACAGCAGCTCTCGATTGTTGATAGACTTTTGACTGAGAACGTGGATAGAAACTTTGGGATTCATTGGGGTGAGACTCGAGCGTCGAGTTATGATGTAATATTGATGTTGTTGCTGTTGGAAACGCTGCCAATTATTATTATGATTATTATTGCCACGACCGCCAGAGGATTGATGCATGGATAGAGGAAGAGAGAATGGTCAGATGCCTGTGGAATATTGGGTGGTTACGGTTGAATTGGGTGGTTATGAAACTACGTGTGACTTGAAATCGTGTCCAGTGGTCGGACATATTAAAACAAAGAGGTTATGTCAATATGTATCATTTGAAGATATTGTCCGAACAGATACAAAATATGTACTCACTGACAATTGTCGTACATTTTTGAAACTCTACTATCTATGACCAAGTATAGTCCATGTAGTATTGATCCTACCAAAAGGACGATGGACAAACGTACTACCTACCCTTCTCAGCATGTAGAATGCCAATTCACAGCTCCTTTATCTACTTGGTCTTGGCATCTCGGGCACTTTTTACTTCGAGATACGCCCATTTGATCCACGGTAACAAAGCTTCCAAGTCTTTGGTCTCTACCGTAGCACCACACCAGATACGCAGTCCAGGTGGTGCATCTCGATACGAACCCACGTCATACGCAACTTGTTCACGCTCGAGCAATACTTGCATTTGCTTCACTTCGTTCTTTGATAGACCGTCAATTAGCAGGCATACGGACGTACTGGAGCGAATCTCTTTCTTGGCTGCGAGGAACTTGAACCATCTCGAGTTATCGGCTGCAAACACTTCAAGCACCTTTAAATTACGCTGCGAGATTGCAATCAGTCCGTCTTGACCACCCACGCTCTCTGCCCAACGCAGAGCATCAAGATAGTCCTCTACACACAACATCGACGGCGTGTTGATGGTGCTACCCTCAAAAATCCCCTTTAGGAGCTTGCTTGTACTGGCGTTGGTCATGCGGAAGATCTTAGGAAGTGGGCGGTTTTCCGGCACGAACGACTCCAAACGCTCCACAGCGCGCGGACTCAATATTACGACACCGTGGCCGCCTTCGCCACCAAGAACCTTTTGCCAGCTAAACGTGCACACATCGATTTTGTTCCACGGAATGTCCATGGCAAACGCAGCTGACGTAGCATCGTTAAAGATCAGACCCTTGCGGTCGTCTGGGATCCAGTCGGCGTTGGGAACACGGACGCCACTAGTCGTGCCATTCCACGTGAACAATACGTCGTGATCACAGTTCACTTGAGAGAAGTCTGGGATCTGGCCAAACGGCGCACCAAACTCTCTCACGTTGTCAAGCTTTAGCTCAGTCGTAACATCCTTAAACCACTGTTTGCCAAATGACTCCCAGTAGCACACATCCACGGGACGCTCGCCCAACATGGACCACATTGCCATCTCGAATGCGCCTGTGTCTGAAGCCGGCACGATGCCAAGAAGGTAGTCCTCCGGGAGCTTCAGAATCTTCTTCGAACGCACAATGGCTTCCTCAAGCAAGCCCTTGCCCAGCTTAGAACGGTGACTACGGCCTAGAACAATGTCAGGTATGGAAGCCAGCGAATATCCCGGCCGCTTCTTGCAAGGTCCTGAGCCAAAATTCGGTGATGCCGGCTTTACGCGTGGCTTCGGGTGACGCACGATCTCTACTCCAGCGTCAACCGCGTTGGTTTCTTCCTCAGCAGAGCTCGCACTCGGCTTAAGGAACTTCTCCAATATACCACCCGAGACAGCCGTGTCCAGCTCGAGCAGGTTCACGCGGCGAAGATTAGTGAGCATGCCCAGTGCTTCGAGCTCCTCCATAACGGCATCTGGAATAGCCTCGTCCACATTGAGCACGCCGACAGCAGCGGTGCCATGTTCTTCACGCGCCAGACCGAAACAACCGATATTAATCTTGTGTTTCGCTAGCACCGACGTCACCTTGTGCAGCACACCAGGCTGGTCAGTGTTGTTGAACAACAGCATTGATCCACTCGGAATAGCATCCATAGGCAGATCGTCAAAAGACACAAAGCGCAACTGGTTCTTGCCGAATACCGTACCCGTGATCTTCTTCGATGTGCCGTTCTCCTTCTCAAAAATGACAGTAAGCTGGTCCGAGAAGCTGCTGCCAGAGGCTTCATCGTGCTTGTGCTCCACAGTCTGAATGCCCATGACGTCAGCAAGCTGTTTTGCGTTCGTAAACGTCACCTCCTCCTCCAGCATGTGCGATAGCAATCCCTTCATCACGCCTTTTACTAGCTGCCCCGACAGTTCCGACGACGTAACCTTAGGCCCCTCCGCGATGACAAGTACGCGCTTAAGACGACTGTCGTCTAGCAACTGCGCCTGCATACTACCAAGCTTTTCCGCAAGTGACAGCAAAGGCATGAGCTCCTCGCGCCTGTCGAAATCAATGTTTGGCGCGTTGACCACGCCCTTGTAAGACTTGCCTGCGAGAGCGTCATTCACCTTGTAAGCCAAGTCACGTGCCACCTTTTCCTGTGCGTCAGTAGTCAACGCACCAATGTGCGGCGTAACAATCACATTCTCGTGATTCACGAGTTTCTTCCAAGTCTCGGACGGAGGCGACGGCGTGTTGATATCAAAGGCCATACCCGCAACTTTGCCACTCTCAATAGCTTCCAGCAGCGCTGGGTGGTCGATCAGACCCGCCCGAGCTCCATTCACTAGCTTGACACCGTCTTTGCAGAGCGCGAGACGTTGCGCATTCACTAAGTGCTTGGTATTGGCATTAAGTGGGACATGGAGAGTGATGTAGTCACTGCGGGAGAAGAGTTCATCCAACGAAACAGGCTCAATGCCGTGCATCTTGGCACTAGCATTGGACAGAATAGGATCGTAGCCAATAATGTTCAAACCAAAAGCATTGCATCGTGCAGCCACTTCTCGACCAATGCGGCCAAGACCGACGATACCGAGCGTTTTACCGTGGATTTCCGAGTGACGGACGACTAACTCCTCCATGTCAGTGGCCTTGTCAAGTCGAGAGACGGCAGTAATGAGCCCCAATGTGAGCTCAGCGGCCGAAATGGTGTTGCCAAAGGGCGTATTCATGACCAGCACGCCCTGTTTCGTAGCGTTTACCATGTCAATGTTATCCACGCCTGTGCCAGCGCGACCAATGAGCTGCAACTTTTGTCCAGCATCCAGTACTTGTCGATCCACTTTAGAGCCGGAGCGAACGATGAGCACGTCGTAATCAGGCACCTGCGTAATCAATTCAGTGTGGGAGAGACCCGTCGAGTCGCATGTAACGTCGTGACCGGCAGCACGTAACAGTTCCGGGCATATGGGATCAATGGGATCACTGCAGAGGATACGCGCCATCATGGCAGATGAAGATTGGTGGAAACTGCGCGTGATTGGCGGCTGGTGCGTGAGCAAGCGAGACCTGCGCGTCCAGAGAATACGACGCAACATGGAGCTGCTGGTGGAGACAAATGAGACTTTCCAAAGTGATTGGTGCTGGAAAGGGAGATTCATAAAAAATGCCTGCATAGTACTATCATTGTTTTGTACAACGTGATGGATACCCCTTTGCTAATTGCTTTCATCTATTCTTGCTTTGACCAATTGATACCTTTCAACAAGCTGTATGCAGCATTCTAACAAGCTTGGATAACTTACACGTTGTTCAGAGCAGCTACACCCGGAAGCACCTTGCCCTCGAGCAACTCCAGGCTAGCGCCGCCACCCGTGGAGATATGGCTCATCCTAGAACCAAGACCGGCTTGCTCGACAGCGGCCACAGAGTCACCGCCTCCGACGATGGTGGTGACGCCGTTATCCGTACTCGCCGCAAGAGCCTCAGCCACACTGATCGTACCTTTAGCAAAGTTGGGAAATTCAAAGACACCCATGGGGCCATTCCACACAACAGTCTTGCACTCCTTCAGCTCCTTGGCAAACATGGTCTGTGAGTCCGGGCCAATGTCCAGACCCAACCAGTCGTCGGGGATAGCGTTAGCGGGTACAACCTTCCACTGAGCATCTGCATCAAACTTGTCAGCAATCACGACGTCAGTGGGGAGCACAATATGCACCCCGCGTTTCTTGGCCTCGTCTAGAATCTCCTTAGCGAGCTCGACCTTGTCTTCCTCAATGATAGATTTGCCTACGTCTAGACCTTGGGCTTTGTAGAACGTGAAAATCATGCCACCACCAATCATAATCTTGTCACACTTTTGCAGCAAAGACTTGAGCACGGGAATCTTGGTAGACACCTTGGCACCGCCAATGATAGCACCCAATGGACGTAAGGGGGCGTCCACTGCACCGGACAAGTACTTGAGCTCCTTCTCAATCAAAAACCCTGCCACGTTGGTTTTGATGTAATTGGTCACACCTTCCGTAGAAGCGTGAGCACGATGAGCCGTACCGAACGCGTCATTGACGTAGATATCAGCACCGTGAGCGAGCTGCTTGGCAAACTCGGGATCATTCTTTGTCTCTTGTTTGTAAAAACGAACATTCTCGAGCAGCACGATCTCGCCGTCCTTAAGCGCTTCAATGTCTACGTCCACCTGTGGACCGACGCAGTCGTCTAGGTTTATAATGGGGCTACCAAGTAGCTCACCAAGACGTGTGGCTACGGGCGTAAGACGGAGCTCATTCTTTGTCTCACCGTCAGGACGGCCCAGATGCGAGCACAACACCGTGCGAGCACCCGATTTTTGAAGCAGTTTGAGTGTCGGTAAGACGGCACGGATACGCGTATCGTCCGTGATAATAGCGGGCGTTACGTTCTTCTTGAGCGGCACGTTCAGATCAGCACGCACTAGTACGCGTGCCCCTTTGAGGCTCTGACGCTGCGCCAGATTCTCAAGACTGAGCTTGGATACGCTCATTGTACGCGCTATGGAGCTAGATGGACATGCTATTTGCATGCCCATGGCACGTGATAGATTCAGCATCTTGACGGAAAATAAAAGAAGAGGAAGGAGACTTGTGCAATATAGACTTGATGAAGGAATACCAGTGACGACACTAAGCAGTATTTCTGCTTGGAAAAGGTGATGGGTACAGCAAATGCATAAGCTGTACGTTGATCGGATTGTACAGGGTAACAAAGGATACAGGTAACTGATAGACTATCTTTCTCTATAGATATGAAACTGTAATGTATACAATATGCGTGGGTATTGAT